GTGGGCGAGGCGGTGCAGGGCGGTCCCTTCCGCTCGCCTTCCGCGGGGTGCTGCCCTGCAGTTATTGACATAAATAAAAACTTGGTGGTCTAAAGAAAAGAGGTTTCCCTGAGCCAAGAGGAGAAAATAAAAAGGGGAGCCCAGAGAAGGGGAAGGGGAACAGACACAGACGGGGGGAGGGAAGTGGGGGGTGGTAGAAGAAGAATCAGAAGTGTTTTCAGTTAGAAGCACAAAGGAAAAAAGGAAGGAAGGCAATTTAAAGACCAGAAACCCCAGTGCACCATTCTGAGCCCTGGCTGCACAGCGGCACCCAGAGGGCCGGTCCCATGCTGCTGCCCAGGGAGGAGGCAACTCTGCAGCCCTCCAGCTGCAATGTCACCTGCTCCCACTCGCCCAAGGGGACATGCTACCCCAAGAAGGCTGGCGAGGCCGCCCCACTGCAGGGACTGGCACAGCTACTCCTCCGTCCCGAGCAAGAAGGCAGGAGCCATTTCTCCTGCATTGCTCAGGGATGCGAACAACAGCAGGGACCTGGCCCCGCACCCCAACCAGACCCAGAGGGAGGGCAGAGCAACTGCTACAGCCCTGGGGCTGAGGGGGTCTCCCCCCCTGCCTCTGGCTTAACAAGATACCCAGCATTAGCTCTACACTCGCCCCCAACACAAGCCCCAGTTCAGAAGGCACAAGGCGCCTACTGAAGTCTCTGGGCAGAAGCTCAGACTTACCTTTTTGGTGGAGAGCGCCAGCTTCTTGGCAGGTGGAGGTGACATGAGCTCCAGAGCAGTGCTGGCCAACAGGGAAGGCTTCAGTTTTGCCCGCTTGGAGTCTTTGGGGTCAGCCGGCTCGGCACCGGGGCCAGCAGGGCGGTCTGTGCCACAGTCTGTTCCCTGAGATGTACAGAAGCTGCTGGTTCCAACCTTGGCCTTCTGGGCCTTGGCTAGCTTCCCCACTGCACTGTGTGCTGGGCTGGCAGCACTGCTGCCACAGGAGTCCCTCTGCAGGGTCCCAGCATTCCCCCCACTGCCCCTGGGCTCCTGGCTAGGGCTGGGCTCCAGCAGCAGCTTAGGTGAGGTAGGCGGCTGCTTGCTCTCCCAGGGCAGCTCCACTTTGGCCCCATTTACATCGCTGGTGT